AAACAAGTTGGCTTTTTTCTTCATTTCAGTTTCTATAATACCAGCTTCAACAATACTCAACTCATAATAAGATATGCAATTCAGCCCCAGCTGGTTTGACTCAGTGGATAGAGCAACTTATAAACCAAAATGTTAACAAGTGCTGTTTCTGAGATATTGAGATTACAAGAACTTTTGGTGCATGTGCTTTTCTATATTTTCCAATACTGTGTATTTATATAATTATTTTGCAATCAGGGAGAAATGTTATTTTTATAAATAAACTATCAAATCTACTAATGAGCTGCCAACAGACTCAATTTTGGTGGTGATTCAGACTGTGATTATATAAATATCAGTTTGATTAGGAAATAAAGAGGAAGGGGGTGAACTTGGGTTCTCTGAAGGGCCCACTAGGTTAAGCCACTATCAAGGTGATTCCCTTGCTCACCTATTCTAGGAAAGAAAGTCAAGTCACACAAAGCAAAACTGATCTAAGTGGGTACCAGCTGCAGCTCAGGGGTATGGTGGGAAGGAACCTTCTCTGATGACAATTTTGTTCAAAAGTTTGTTGTTAAGTGTGAACCAGAATATATCTTGATGAAGGCATAATGCAGATAATAAAGATTAAGCTATCATTTAACTTCATAGGGAATATTTTGTAATATGGTGCTTTATATTAAGGTATTCTCATTGTAATTCTGTCATTCTCCCTCATATATTGATCCTCAAATCTAGAACTGTTCACCCAATGATAGTTTAAGTGAGCAAGGTCATCAAAGTCTTGTCAATTTGATATATATCATATATTTTCACAACAAAATGTGATTCCCTCACATCAGATATCACCTTTAAAAAAAATTCTCCTCAATCTCAAGAAGGAATGACAAAGTTAACAAAGTAATAATTGGATCAATTACAATGATGTGGAGACTATACTACCTTATGCTGGGCTTTGTATACAGGAACATAACAAACAGTACTCAAGATTAAAGGTGAAAATTAAACAGAGACCCAAGGATCTGGCAGTAGTTAACTAAATGCAAAGATATCACTGCATAATGTTTTTAAGCATTGAAATTAAAAAGCATTCTAATTATATCATTTCAGAACTGAGAAAATTAAACTATAGTATTTGTTTAAAATGAATGGATAACCATTTAAAGAAAGCAGCTTTTTCATTCTCTTAAACAGATATTAAACTATCAGGAAAATATTATCTATTGCAAAAGTATCAGTTTATTTTCTTCCAGCTTGAGGCTAAGAGAACCTAACAGATAAAATGGCCCCCTGCCAACTCTCTTTTGATATTTAAAGGATTCTTTATTTAGTTTGAATTACCAGCTAGGCTTACAGCGAGCTGACTTTAGAAAACTGGAGAGCCAAACCTCTGCCTATAGTTCCCCCTGCAGTTCATGAAGTTCTATGCACAAGTAAACACAGCATGATTAGGAACCAACTTTAATCCTTTTATCATGTATCAGTTACTTTTAATTAAGTATATAATTTATATAATGTTTAATTATTTTATCAGTTATTTAGTATACACACTAAGCTCAGTTTTATTCAGTGAATAGCTTATCACATTTAGCTAAATCAATAAACTTCAGCCACGTGTATTATGCTTACAGGAAATGCGACATATCGCTTCAGTCAGGAGAAAGAGACATTCTGAGGAAGCTGAGCAAGTCTGAGAGAGACGTCCAACTGCGCAGAGTGAATAATGCTGGTGTAAGTGCACTAACTTTGCTATGACACGAGCTAACGTTCAGAGTGTGACATGACAATCAAGCAAGTTAGAGGAAGGAATGCGTCTCACTTGGGTCCATGAGTCGTACTTTCCTTAGGAAAGGAGGCTGTGTGAGTGGCTGCCGAGAGAGTAAATCCAGTCAGTTTACTAATCAAAGAAATACCAGTTCTCCACAGAGCAAGGGACTTCATCAGAGGTGCTGTTCTCGAGGGGCGGAGGTGGGGGGAGCCTAACTTTATCTGCACTTGTGAAAGAGCAAGAACAAAGCAGGGGGCAGCTGCTCTCTGGCTAAATTCCAATTCAAGGGTCCCAGTGACCAGGAAGCCCTCTAAAACAAAAAGATGCAGGTATTTGTGCCAGTGTCTAACATGCCATGGCCCAACTTGAATACTCGTCCTCACTGGCAACTACTGATGCTAAATTATCTCATCAGCCCAGGCATAATCCTCATACCAGATGATGCCAATCAATTATCTCCTCTGCCAACCTCTCTCAAGTTCCTTATACTAGTAACTTCTAAATTCTGAAAAGATATCTCAGAAAATACTCCCCATACAACTCAATAGGCTGAGGAATTGATATCCTAAGGCAGTGTTTCCCAAAGTGTGGTACACGTACCTGAGAAGAGTTTGGTGGGGTACACGTTGCACCGGAGTTTGGTGGGGATATGCACTGCACCGTGCTTAGCTGCGCCTAATTCTACGTTCTCATGAGTATGAGGGGTACTCAGCGTTACGAAAATTATAGAAGGGGTACACATATGTCAAAAGTTTGGGAAACACTATTCTAAGGAATTAATACTGTTAAAACTTATGTTTAAGTCATAATAAAATATGCTACCAATAATACTACTGGATCCATACAAGGAGCATTATTTGGTAATAAAAAGGAATAGAATACTGATACATGGATGAATCTTGAAAACATTATGCTAGTGAAAGAAGTCAGTCACAAAAGACCACAGATTGTATGATTCCATTTATATAAAATGCCCAGAACAGGCAAATTTGAGACAAAAGTAGATCAGTGGTTGCTTACGGCTGAGGAAGCAGAAGCGGGGACAATAGAGATGGACTATTAATGGGGACAGGCTTCCTTTTAAGAAGTACAAACATATTCTAAAATTAAAATGTGGTAAGGATTACACAGCCCTATAAATACCTATAAAAATAAAATGAATTGTATACTTTTAAATTAGTGAATTGTATGATATATGAATTATATATCAAGAAAGCTGTTTAAACTGTACTAAAAAATACTACTGCAACTATTTATTATAGCTACCACTGAATAGTTAGTATGTACAAGAGACCTTATATCTGATTCATAGTAACTCTTCAAGGTCAATTTTTAATATTAGATGAGAAAACAAGTTCAGTGAACTTAAAACATTTACACAAAGTAACAGAGCTATTCAGGAATGGTGCCTAGATAGATCATTCTAAAGAAATGTCTCTCTGAAGCCCTGTCTTCTAAACTATACCTGTCATGCTCGCCATCAAATAGCATATTGGAAATAACTGGAATAAGAGTACCAGGGACGGACATACAAATGCCCTTGAAAGAGCAGGTATTTTGTTTTCTATCAGTGGTGGAAATTAGTTTTTCTGAGACATCATTATAGGAAAAAAGGACGTACACCATTGTTATTTAATTCAAAAGCCATATCTAGAAAACAATTAAAAGTAATTAAGGTTATGTAATTAAGGTTATGTAATGTGTCCCTTCTCTTTCAGTTTATATCAGAGCTACTACTACATTGTAAATGCCTTCAAGGAACGGACATCACCTGATTTGTCTTTTTTAAGTCAATGCTTCCAGGGTGGTGACTTGTGGGGGGAGGTGGAAAGACAGGCGGGAGAGGGGAGGAAATGTAATACTATCAAAATAAAAAAATGTATTTGTTAAAAAGTCAATGCTTCTAGAAATTCCTTGTTCTTTATTTATATTAGATGAAATCCCAATAAAATATATACAGAAATGGTCACTATTTCTTAAACTACATTCATTAGGCAAAATAAATATTCCTTTATTTAGATTCTATTACACATATTTAGTTTTTATCCATACATTTAGAGGACTTTACAAACACTAAATTATTAGGTGTTCCAGAAAGGTAGCTGGATAAAAAAGGCAATTATATGAGGGAGAAATACAAATATGATGCTAAAAAGATGACATTTTGTGGCTTCATCTACTAGTATAATGCAACTAACAATTTAGTTGCTGTTATCCTATTTGCTGCTGTAACAAATTATCACAGACTCAAGAGGTTTTAAACAACACTAATAAATTCTTATGGCTTTGTAAGTCAGAAATTTGACACAGGACTCACTGTGCTTAATTCAAGATCCTGGCAGGGCTGCATTTCCTTCTGGGCACTAGAAGAAAGTGTTTCCTTGCCTCTTACATTCTAAAGAAGTTGCCTGTATTCCTTCTCTCATGGCCCCTTCCTCCTTCAAAGCCAGTAAAAGTGGGTCAAGTTCTCAGATCATTTCACTCCGATCTCTTTTACCTCCCTCTTCCACTTTTAAGGGCCCTTATGATTACATTGGGCCCATCCAAATAATCCAGGTAATCAATCTCATTTTAAAGTCTTTAATCCCATCTGCAAAGTCTTTTTGAATTTAACATAACATATTCACAGGTTCTGGAAATTATGACATGGACATCTTTGGGTGGCAATTATTTTGCCTACTACAGTTGCCTTCGTCTTCAAAAAAATCAGGAATTTACCCACAGTAAATTAAGCCTACAGTGGAGGGCTCACTTTGGATTAAATACTAATGTTTTAAATAAAGAATATAGAACTTGAGATGAAAAATCCCTCCTATTTTGTCAGATTGTTACCGGCATTCTTTTTTGAAAATGAGCCATAATTAGATATGTGGAACAGGTTGCCATTCAAACCCATGGAAAAAAAATGGAACTAAGTGAATCTATTATTTGAAAAAAACCCAAAAAAAGCTTATTTTGTATTTTCTATCTTTTCATATACGGTACATTGTTCTGCCTTGGCACTCAGGAAGTACCAATTACACAGCCTATATCATATAATAGGATATTGTATTAATTCAAACTGGAGGAAAAGTAGCTGGGAAGACTATACCTGAGCATACTAACCATGAGTTTTTACGAACCTTTAAAATAAAATATCCAAATAATCATTATATATGTATATGTGGTTAAGAGATCAAACATCTCCTTTTTGGAAGGCCCAAATTCAAAGTGAAATATCATCACCATTTTTTTAATACCCCAGGAAAATGCACTATCGCATGTTTAACATTTTCAACTTAGCTTTGTATCTTTTCTGACTCCAAGACAGAAGAGAGATGTTTGATATACTCAAGTTATAGCCAGCATCTACCAATTCTTTGATTCGACTTTTTAAAGTACTTATGCTTGAATCCAGAATCCGAGGATTCTCAATTATTTGTAAAATGCTAATTTTTTCTTCTATGAGGCAGTCTATTTTTTCATTAAACTTTTTCTCTCCCAGGAAGAGCACATCCAGATAACTCAAGACAAACTTCTGAACCTCCTGTTCAGTGCACCCGAGAGAACACAGCTTCTCTTTGATATTTGTGTAGTTCCTTTTGGCACAGTCATTGGAAAGGTCTAGGAGGTCAGCTCCTGGACCACATATCAGAGCAAGCATCTCCTCATTGTTCAGGTTGAAAGTGGACTGTAAAAACCTAATGTTAGCTCTTATCCGTTTGGTGCTCTGAATTAAGATGAAAGGGTTTTTTAAAATTATTTTCCTGACAAAATCTATGGGTTGACTGTGACCTAAGGACAAACATACTTCCTGCAAAAATTCAACCATCTGTTTATTCAAATTAAGACTATTGGAGAAGGTACGTGGGGCACTGCTCAACAATCGACAAAGGCACTTCCGGGTCAATCCAACTGAGTAGAGAAACTTTATATTATTTTCTAGGCTTACGTTGTTTGGGGACCGAAAAAACGATTCAGGAGAACGTTCCAAAATATCTAGAATTTCAAGGTCGGATGTCATAATTGTCCTCCACAAATCCCACCGTTTTGAAAGATTTTCAGTTGAGCGTGTTAAGGCTCGTGGATATCTTGATATGATGCTAGCAATCACTTCTTGGCTAGCTCCTTTGGACAGAAGGAACATCTTCAGGTCCTGCTCACTAATACCTGTCCTATTAAAAACCCCGGGCTGTCGTTTCTTCGCCATATCAACATCTACTCCCATAGTAAGTAAGTTATTCAGTAGTCTATTCAAAGGCTCACTGTCTTCATTATCAGACTTCACACCAAAAAACCTACATGAAACTGATTTGAAGAGTATTTCTGGTGAAAATCGGGTCATCCAACATCTTGAGCCAAACAGGAAGTGACTTCTCATATACAAGAGGTTTCGTGGTGCCAGAATGGTCAAGTAGCCCCAACTTTTTGAAATGCTGTGTAAAACAACATAGATAATATTATACAATGTATTAAATAACTGAAAGACCATATTATAATCCTATAAGTATCATGGTCCTTTCTATAAGAAGTTCTCCTGGTGCTAGGTTAACAATTCAGCCACCGTATTCCCACCTGGGCTCCATATATCCTCAACATAATGAAAGGCAGTATAGCACCATCACTGCCCCACAATTATTCATACCTTTACCTTGCTCTCCTTGTTTGGCCTTACTTATCTTGGCTATCCAAAACCAATTGCCCCTCTCCATTTCTGTTTTATCCCTCCTGGTTACCAAACCTTAGGCTTATTCCTACTAACTGATGTTTTCAATTCTGCCTTGTCTTCCAACTTCCCAGATCTTTGGCCTTGGCCTTGCCCATAGATACCAGACTTCTTTGCCTCAGCTTTCACATGTTGGTTATCAAACTCTAAATTTAGCCCTGAAAACCAACACCAGCTTTTTTTTTTTTTTTTTTGTAAAGATTTATTTCTACTGGGAAAAAGAAAAGAATAGAACTGTTTTCCAATTTGATCTCCACTGTGTACAAACATATCCACATGCATACAAAAAAATTACACACCAAAAATACATTACCCGTATTTTCCGGCGTATAAGACGACTTTTGAAACAAAAAAAAAAGCCTGCTCAGACTGGCCAGAGTCAGAGAGGCGGTCTATTAAAAAAAGAACTGGTGTTGCCTCGGAAGTGGGAGTAGTCTTATACAGCGAATATAGGCCTAAACCTATGTTTTAACTGTAAAATTAGGGGGTTGTCTTATATGCCCGGTCGTCTTATACACCGGAAAATACATAAGCAAAAGAAAAAAGAAAAAAGAAACCAAGAATCAAATATCAAAACACCCTCAAACTGCACCAATACTTTGGATTTTGACTAAAAGAATAGATGAATAGACCCTGGAAAGAAGTGCAAAATGCAAACTCAAATGACTGAAAATGCTAAACATTAATATACAAAATATTTATATTTCTGAAGTAGTCACAGCTGATGTTCTCCATGTCTGTAAAATTTTAGAACCATATAGCTGATTTGTTAAATCTAGTCCATGCCAGCTTCCAAAAGTCAGAAAATATTTTAGTTAGTTTCATTATTTGATTTCGACAAGATCTGAAAAATCATTATCTTTCCCATGTCTTCTGGTTTTGGCGCTTTGCTATCCAATACTTGCCAGGGGAACTGTTCAGCTAACTTCCTACGACTTGTGAAGCTGTCAGCACCAAGCTGACTTAATATTCCAGGAAGCATTTTTCTACGATTGGTTTGGCTTTTGCGTGACTGGTAATTGCAAAGGTGTTAGCAGAAAGCTTGGACTTTGGGATTGTTGAAATGAGTAACTGTTCCATCCTCTTTAATCATGTTTACCTCTTCAATACCAGCTATATTATTGACAGCCAGTTTTTCAGAAAACTCTGAAGTTGTCATCAGCTGTAGCTATTTTATGTACCACCTTCTTTCTGCAAGTCGTATCCTTGTCCCCTATTTGGACCTGAGCCTGAAGTTTGGCTAACTTTTCTTGATTCATACTGTTGGTAAATCTAAGCAGGAAGAGTCCTCCAACACCAGCACATGACAAGAGCAAGAGGGCTACCTCAGCCGAGACCCCAACGCTAGAATTCTTAATTTGCACCATAAACACATTTCTCTAGATTCATGGCACTCTTTAAATCCAGCTATTATTAGAGCCTAATTCTTAGCTTATCTTGACCTCTGGTCAACAACAAATGCTTCCAATTTCCTCACTCTATTATTGTCCCCTTGGTTATAACCCAACAACTCCAAACCAATGTTCATTTTCCAATAGTTGGGATATTTAATCCAAATAATCCACCACATATTGGAACTGAGCTGCAAGATGGCATGTTTAAAATTTACTTTTACCATTCTCCCCAGCCCACAACATTACAAAAGACAAGCCCAGGGATCTCTGAATCAGTTTCACAACACATATAACTCTGTGCAAGTGGTTAAAACTTCAAGATCTCTCTCGCCGAAACCCGTTTGGCTCAGTAAATAGAGCATGGGTCTGCGGATTGAAAGGTCCCAGGTTCAATTCCAGACAAGGGCATGTACATTGGTTGTAGGCACATCCCCGATGGGGGGTGTGCAGGAAGCAGCTTGTTAATGTTTCTCTCTCATTGATGTTTCTATTCCTCTCCCTTCCTCTCTGTAAAAAATCAATAAAATATACTTAAAAAAAACAAATTTCAAGATCTCATTTTCTTGATCATTTCTTAATCATGAAATGTATGATAATAATCCTAAATCCCTAGTAAAGTGAGCATCTATTTATAGGAAATATAAGGAAAGCAACAAAGACTATTCTTATCAGATAATTTGTTTTCCTAAGCTACTTGTGGTCTGAATCATACAATAATATATTTTTTAATTGTACTTTATCCTTTTCAGACTACGCAGCTGTGACGAACTTGGTTTTTTATTCCTGATTACTTAAAAGAGACACTTTAATTCAGCATAAAATAGGAAATAGAGCTAAATGATTTCAATTCATCACTAACAGTACCTTTGGACTTGAGATACTGCTTTCAAGATCAACATAAAAAAAGCCTCTCTGTTCCTATCCTTTTCATTATTCCAATTTAACAAGAATTTACTAAATTCTGCCTAGACTGGGAAAATTCCTATAGCTCAGATAATCTAAAGATTCTCAAAGAATTGAAAAAATATTCCCAAACTATAGAATTATAGCTTTCAAACCAAAATGCAGACTACTCACAAGGTAAACATCAAACAAAAGCATATATTAGACTGCCCTATACTCTGACTTCACTACTCTTCACTTCTCTATAATGCTAATGCTACCGTGTAATTATACAAAAATGCATGAATTTAGAAACTTAAAAAATAAGGTTTTCTTTCTAACTAAAGGAAAGCTTTACATTGCACAGCTCAAAAATCTGCTCTTCCAGATGCTCAAGGGTGACCTCTGCTGAACAATCAGACAGAACTCTGACAGTTATGGATAAGACCAGTACTTTCCAAAGAGGGGTAGCAACATGACCCAATGGAATGTAGGACAACACAGTAAAATTCCAAATTGTATTTGCCTCAGCCTTTTAAAATTTCTACTTTCTGTATTTTAAAATGTATACAATACATGTTGTAAGACATGTACATAACTCACCAGTAAATAAATATATTGAAGGTACATGTATAAACCTTTCTTGAGAGTATACATAATTAAAAAAAAAAAAAAAAAAAAAAAAGCCTGGAGACATCTATTCTAGAGAACACACCCTCAAACAGGGTTGAACAAGCCACAGAAAGTTCTAAAGAAATTCCATGAATGACAGACTAAAAGCAAGTGAAAATATATCGATATTCCAAATTTCTTAACAAAGAGCTCTAAGTTTTCTCCTGAATCTTATAGGTGGATTTTATGTCTTTGTACATAATTCCTTCTCCATGGAAATATCTTTCACACAAATTAACAAGTCCAAAACCAAAATGATCATCCTTCACAGCCCCCAACTAGACCTCCTCTGATTAAAGAAATCATTCTCACTTGTGAGAAATGAGTCACTTGTGATAAAAATACAAAAGCTTTGCTTTCTTTCCCTTCCTCAACCTATCATCAAATCATGTAAATTCTGCTTGGTCAACATCTCTGAACTCCAACCTCTCTACTCTTTGCTTTTCATTCACACGGACTATAATAGCCACCTAACTTACTTCTCTAATACCTTTCCCTCAAAACTTCCATAATAGTATAGTTGTAAAATATGTTATTATGTCCCTCATTTCCTGATTAAAGATCTCTGTAGCTCTCCCCTACAAAATAAAATCTTCAGACTGACCTTCAAAGCCCTCACCACACAGTTCCACCTATCTTTCTAGCTAGCTTCTGTTCTACAACTTCACAACTACCGTGTTTCCCTGAAAATAAGACATCCTCCAAAAATAAGACCTACTTACCGGTTTCCTTCTGAGTGAAATATAAGGCATCCCCCCGAAAATAAGGCACCCACCCACTAGGCTAAACATGAGAGATTTGGTCCAGTGATTCTGAAAGAAATGGAGTCATAAGAAATTCACCAGGAAATTCAGGAATTGGATTGTTATGATGATGTTCCAGAAGATGATGACATGATTGTCACTGAATAAATGAGTAAATTCTTGATACTGTAGGATTCACAGTTTGTCTAGTTTGTGTTGACAACTACTGTATTACCGTACTGTATACGTGTAATAACTTTCCTTTATTTTCATTTAACAATAAATGTGTACCGTATTCTTCTTCGTGGAAAAATAAGACATCCCCTGAAAATAAGACCTAGTGCATCTTTGGGAGCAAAAATTAATATAAGACAGTCTTATTTTCGGGGAAACAGGGTAGGCACCATTGCCTCTCAAACCTCTGGTCCTAAACATCCTTGTCCATTCTTGTCTCCCTGCCTTGTTTAAGATATCTTTCAGAAAAGCCTATCATCCTGATGTCATCCATTGTACAAGATCCCATTCAAATACTACCTTCCTACAAATCTTTAACTAAATAAGAATATATTGTTGAAATGAATCATTTGTTTTATAATTATTTATTACTAAGGAATCTAAATTATTCCTTTGGGGGAGAGGGGGGAAAAGAGCTCAATTGGATTTAGAATCGGCAACTAAAATTTGGTTTAGACCACAATACTATATATGCAATAAACTGACCCAAAATATATTATGAACAGTCTCAGCTAAGCTTAATACAATGTTAACTAATATCTAATGTTGGTGAGCATATAAGGAAATGGGAGAAATTCTCAAATACCACTGCTGTAAGAGAATTTGGTACCCTCCATCATATTCTTTAATCCAACTTAATTCTTTTCCACTTCTGTGAGATTATCCAAGACAAGAATACACATTGTTATGAAAAGGATTACCATCATAATACTATTTGCTATAGACAAAAAGAAGGAACCCAATGTCCCCATTAGAATGACTAATAAATTGTGGCACAACTATGCAATAAAATACTATACCAGCTGCTTTTTAAAAATGAGGCAGATCTAACACAATAGAA